TCTCTCTCTCTCTCTATCTTCTCCGTTCATCTCTCTTTCTCTAAATTAACGAAATCCGTTTTCCTTCTCTGTTTTGCAACACATGAATTAGGGAGGAATGGCTCAAAAAATCGAGAAAGTAGAGATCGAGTTTAAGGCATCGGAAACCTTGACTCTTTGCGTCAACAATTGCAGAGTCACCGGGAATCCGGCTACCAAAAACATGTGTCAGAAATGTTTCAACGCCACCACTGCTACAACCTCCTCCCCCTCCTCCTCATCACCATCTTCCACCGCCAACGCTACCTCAGGAGGGGCCGTTGCTGGAGGAGCCTCAGTCATGAAATTCTCGACCAAGTCATCCTCAAGATCTGGGACTTCTCGATCGTTGGAGATCTGATCCGATCCTGTTTCTGCTACAACGACGACAAGCAGCAGCCAGAGCTCCTCGTTGGACAACTTGAGTGTGGAGGCTTTGTCGATGGTGGAAAAGAAGGTGGTGAATCGGTGTTCTGGTTGCAGAAAGCGTGTAGGATTTCTGCGCGGAGCACCGGTACTCTGATTGACACGATTGTAGCTACGATTATAAGGCGACCGGCCGAGAAGCATCAGAATTGAATGAAACCTAGCGAGGACACATTCTCAATTCTCAACAGAACTTCGATTATTTACACTCGTAATTTCTACTCCACTCCACAGAAACAACAAAAACTAAAAAGAAACACAGATTTGAAGTTTTGAAATGAGACTAAGTAACCAGTGCATGCTCTGATTATTACAAACACAAAGCCAAAGCTCAATTTTAGATTTCAGGCACAATCTGGAGCTGAATTTACAAAAATAAATCAAATTTAGAGAAAATAGAAGAGAAAGAGGAAATTAAGTGACGGTGCATTTACAGAGCTTTTTTGGATTGATTCGATCTGAGAAAGGCGGGGGGTAAGGTGAGGGAATGCAATCGCAAATAGCAAGCAACGAGCTGGGTTCGTCGCGAACCCACGAGCTGGGTTTGTCGCGAACTCGCGAGCTGGGTTACCCAGTAGCCTGGGTTTGCCTGGAGGTAAAAGGAAAAAAAAAAAAAGAAAAAAAAAAAAGGGCCGAAGGAAGTGGAGAGTGACGTGGAGGGTATTGTTAAGTGCACGTAAGCATCTTTTATACGTTGGCATACCCACGTCAGCTGTTTTAGTTAACTTAACGTGCCATGTGAGCAAAAATTAATGGAATGACTAAGAAGGGGCCGGATTTGTGAACAGTAAGGATCAAAAAGGGAATTTTTTCGGTACAAGGACTAAAAAAGGACTTTTTCCTATAGTAGAGGGACCAAAAAGGGTATTTAACCTAAAGATTTAAATAAATTATTTAAGCCTTTAGTGGATGTATATGTGATAAGATTATAATGAGGTGAGGAACTCAGGGACTAAAACCTTATAGTTAAAGCTTAGTGACTAAGTGGTAATATTTCCTTTTGTGAAAAACCCAAAACAGTTTAAGTTGGCAGTTTCCAATTCTTTTTCTTTTTCTTTTTTTGGGGAATCAGGAACGTCCTCTCCTTCCTCTTGCCAGTAAGGGGAACTTGCTCAAAGGATTTCGCTAAACTAGGGTCAATCAAAGGTAATTTTTTTCTTAAACTTAAATCTTGATGATTAGAAGAATGATGAGAGGGGAATTTAAAAGCTTCTATCGTAATTTACTTATTAGGGACTCCTGTATCACATAATTTCACACCAGAAGGGAAAATGAGTGGAATATTTTGGAATGTAGGAAGGAAGATGGTAGGTAATTACCTGGTTGGTAAGATTGATTTTACTTTAACTATTAGATTATGGTATTGATATTAAATTGTAAATTTGGATGGTGTGGTGCGAGGAATTTTCAAGGGAATTATTTATTTAGATGTTTAGCTTACAAGAGTGTGTGAAGGAATAGCGGGGTTTGAGGAATAGGACATCAGTGGCGTGGTTTAGGGAATTACTACATGTAAATATTTGAGAAGTACTGGGTAAATTTTTACTAGGTGATTGAGTTATATTTATTTGATGTTTGTTTAGGTTTTAATTGATTGTGTGGAATTGTATTTTAAGAAATAATTATTGAGGTAAGTAGCTATACCCTCTAGTTTTTTTTTAAGTAAACTGATTTATTTAAAGGAGATATGTCCAGTTATAATTTATTCTTTCCAATTTCTTAGATAATAATGTTTATTAAAATGTTTTTATCCTGGAATGAGATGATTTTTGAACCAAGCATGACGTTTTATTTAAGAGTTGGATGAGATTGTGGCCATCTATTGTGGTTAACTTAAATATGTTTTTTTCTTTGTTTTTTTTTTTTTCACTGATATGATTATTTTGGAAAGGTTGTTGTTTACTAAATGGTTATTCTAGAAAGGTTTTGTTTTGTCCTGGCTGTATGATTAACCCTTGTGAGGGTTGAGTTGTTGGTATTGTGATAAACCCAAGATCTATGGATTGTGAATTGTGGATTGTGTATTGTGGACTATGGATTGTATATTCTGGATTGATAATTGAGTATCATTATTCATGGATTGTGGATTGTTACACAGCCATAAAAGATGAAAAATGAAATATTCTAGTTTTGAGGAAAGAAATGTACTTTTATTGTTCATTTTCAATAAAAACTCAGTTTTAAATTTCTATACTTGATTGTAATGGATGGGTATACTACTTACAGAGTTCTTAAACTCACGTTTTCAAATTTTATCTCATTTCAGGTGAAGAAGTATGAGAATTGGGTTTTGCATGGGAATTGAGAGATCGTTGGAATAAATTGGCAGAAATTTAGCAATAACTCAATTGGAAGCTTATTCGATTTTATGGAATAAGATGTTAATCACTTTATGTTTTGGTTAAGAGATTTGATCTTGTTATTTGGAAACTATTAAAATTTGTTAATGGAATTGTTATTTTGAAGTTGCAAGGTTACATTAAAACTTGATGGGAGATTGTATTGATATGCACGTAAATGGCCTTACACATTTCTGGGGTTTTCCTATAGATGTGTGGCATTTGTTACACCTAAACCTATGGGTTGGAGCGTGACAAATTTTGTGGTATCAGAGCCAGGTTTAGATGACAAGGGCCAAGTTAAGGATTTTAAGTTAGACCAGCGGTGAACAAGAGGGGTAGAAATTAGAAGGGACATATTTGCATACTTCATCTATGTAAATATATTTTTACATATACAGATATTTTTAGTGTGATGGTTGATTATTACTTAGAGAACTAAATTTTCTCCTTTCTAATTTTGATAGTACCCCACAACAATGCCTCCTAAAAGAAACACCAGGTCTACAGCTAGTCAAGGAATTGACCCCTAACGAGGGAGACCACCCTGGACTAGGCAAGTTGGGTTAGGTAGAGGCATAGCTATTAGGACACAAAGTGAGCCAATGAATTTGAATGTGGTAGGAGATGGTGACCGAAATGAGTCACATCATTCATCCACTAGGAATCATGATTTATAGAGGATTAATGATGATGGAAGACAAATGGGACAATATGACCAACTTATTGTTAAAGAGTTGATGTAAGCATTTGTAGATGCAATGTCAAGGTCGAAATGTGGATTGACAGACTTTCTTAAATTAACAAAACCTTTTGATGGTTTCTCCACTGATCTATCTACAGTTGAGGATTGTATTGATGATATTGAGAAAGCTTTTAGAGGAAAGGGTGTATCGGAGGAGTAGAAGGTATCGCTTGTTGCTTATATGTTGAAAGGAGATGCCAACAATTGGTGGAAGTTAAAGGAGTGTATTCTTACTGCTCCAGTAACATGGGAGAAATTCAAGGAGTCTTTTTTATAGAGATTTTATCCCTAGTAGTGTAAGGGTTGAAATGTAGAGAAAATACTTTAATTTGTAGCATGGTAATAGAACAGTGGTCGATTATGAGAAAGAGTTTTAGTAGCTCTCTAAATTTGTTTTAGCTATTATTCAGGGGAATGAGGAAACTAAAATTCAGAAATTCACTTTTGGGCTCAAGCTTGATGTTCAACATGAAGTAATGACATTGGGCCTGAAGACTTATTCCGAGGGGTGGAAACAAATTTGGAGGTTTGGGTTCTGGACAAAATAAGAAATAAAGCATTGGGTTCTCTATATTTTCTGGGGTTAGGAATCAACCAGGGCAAAATCTTAGGTGTTGGAAATGCCAAGGACCTTATAAGGCTCGAAATGCAGGTGGCTAACTGGTGCTTGCCTAACTTGAGGGCAAATGGGACATCAAGCTGTTGATTGTCCTCGTAATAGGACTCCCCTTGGTGCATGTTTAATTGCGGACAAGTTGGACATCATGCTATGGATTGTCCTCATACCAAGAATTTGGGAGGTGCTTTTTTTAATTATGGATAGAAGGGACATTAGGCAATTGAATGTCCTCAAGCAAGGTAGAACTCTAGAGTTACTCAAGTGACACAACTTGTGGCTAGTGAACGGGCATCTGCTTTAGGATTGAATAAAGGATGTAACCAGAGAACTACTACTCAGGGTTGGGTGTTCACTATAACTTAGTAGGATGCTCAAGCCTCTGATAAGATGGTGACATGTGCACTACTTGTTTCAACAACATACGCTTATGCATTGTTTGATATTGGTGCTTCTCACTCCTTTGTATCCATAAGTTTTGCAATGAAACTTGGTATGCCTATTACTTAGATGAAATATGAAATGTGTGTTGACACTCCTATTAGGGATAAGATAATGACTAATCGTATTTGCAAGTCTTGTGTGGTGCATGTTGATGGAAAACAACTTCCTATTAATTTGATCATTTTAGATATGCATGATTTTGATGTTATTTTGGGTATGGATTGGCTTGCTAAGTATTTTGCTAATTTGGATTGTCATGGGAGAAGGGTAGATTTTTGAGTTCTTGGTCAGCAAGAATTTAGTTTTGTGGGTAGTAAAGGGAAGTTTGTTGTAGTAATTATTTCATCTTTAGAAGCTAGCAAATGTTAAGAAAAGGTTATGAAGGATATCTAGCCACCATTGTGGATAACCAATCTAGCGAATTACAACTTAAGGATATTAATATTGTAAAGGAATTCCTAGATGTTTTCCTAGATGATTTGCCTAGTTTAGTTCCTGATAGAGAAGTGGAGTTTTCCATTGACCTGTTGCCAAGAACGACTCCAATTTCAAAGGCTCCGTACAAAATGGCACCAGCTGAATTAAAGGAGCTAAAGGAGTAGTTATAGGAATTGCTAGACGAGGGTTTTATTAGGCCTAGTGTATCACCTTAGGGTGCTCTTGTATTATTTGTGAAAAAGAAAGATGGGAGCATGAGGCTTTGTATTGATTATAGGGAGTTAAATAAAGTGACCATCGAAATAAAGATCCTTTGCCTAGGATTGATGATCTGTTTGATAAGTTGAAGGGGACACAGTTTTTTTCCAAAGTTAGAGGGTGTTTGGTGCAAATTGTGGAAAGAGTTTTTTGGCTCTAAAAGCACAAGCTTCACCGAATGGGTCAGCTTTTCAAACGTGCTGCAGCTTTCTAGAAGCTCACCTTCTCGCCGTTCCTTTGCAAAGCCCGAAAGCACCAATTTCTTACTTTCGCGAGAGCTTCTCGCTTCATGTTTAATGAAATTGACATGGCATTCCCATTTTGTCCTCACACTTCCTTTTATTTACAAAAAAACTAGTATATAAAGGTTCATTTTATAACTCCTCTTTCTTTCCCCTGTCTTTCTTTCTTTGTCTCTAAAGCAGTCAAACGTGCCTTGTTCTCCCTCCCTTCTTGCCCACCTTCTTCCAAAGCAGACCCGAAATATAAAAGCATCTCAATCATTGACCTTCTTTCTCCCTAACTACTTCAGAGCAGAAAAGCCCATTTCCCTTCACCAAAAAATCCCCACCAAAATCCCATTTCTTTTCCTTCTGTGAGTCTTCTTCCTTTTCTCTGATTTTTTTCCTTTTTTTGGTGTTTCTGCTACCAATTTGGTGGTGATGAATGATGATTGTTGGTTGGTAGTGTGAGTTGGTGAAAATTTTAATTTTTAATCCCTTGTCGTTTCTTGTCTTCTTGTAGATCTGGGCGATGCAACGAAGCGGCATGGGTCGGTGAAGCCGAACGAAGCAGTAATACCGCAGAGGAGTGAAGTAGAGGGTGTTCTGGCTACGGGACTTTGGATTCTTGAAGCATTTTGGGAGCAAGTACGAGCTAAAGGAGGAGGTTAGGAGAGGCCATTTTGGTTACACCTGCTCAACCAAGTTCAAGAAAGGGGAACTCAAAGGACAACAAGTTGCTGTTAAGGTTATACCCAAAGCGAAGGTAAGCTTGTAGTTCATTATTTTGGGTGCTTACTGCTTAGTATATGCTTGATTTCTTGGTTCGACTATATGTTTCTAACAGTATAGAGATGAGATCTACTAGTAAACCTTTACTTTGTCAATCCTGTACTATGATCAGTTTGCTTGATTGCATTTATTAATATGCAAGAATGGATTGTGTATTGAATTATTGGTGGTGAAATTTTTTGAATTGGGGACCTTGGATTGGAGATGTAGTTGTAGTATGTGTTGATTTGCCTTTTTTTCTCAAGATAAAAATTGATCTTTCTTTTTAATCTTTTGGGGGAGGGGGAATTGTGCCATTCCATTGTCTTCCTTTTTATTTTCCAATGATTTTTTTTTCTTTTTAAGAAATTAAAGTATCCTTGACTGAATTCTGGATTCAGGTTCTATGAACTTCTTCTTTAGGCTTTTATACTTTTTTGGTGGGTTAGCTTGATCAGCTTCATTCCAAAACATGAATCTTCTTGGAGATCAATGATTGATTAATAATTATAAATATCTATTATAATTGCATTTGTTACAAAAGGTGAATCAATGATTGTGAATTATTACAAGAAATCACGTGAAACTAGTATTTGGAGTTTCTATAGAAATGCTTAACAACTTGACAACATGTCTTTGATGATACCTCTTGGTCATTGTCGTTATTTTTGAATCTTTCATGTTTCATTCTGTTTTATGGTTACTAATGATGCAGATGTATTCCCATTCTTTAATGTCATTGAGATTGATTGGTGGTTTTGGTGAAAAAAAAGAAAAAAAACTACCCATATTTTTTATTTAAAAAGAAGCTGAAGTTTTGTTGCTAGTTGTTGAAATAAAAATAATTCAACCTTTTATTTCTTTATATTAACTTGTACGTACATGAAATTATAATACTTCTGACCAGCTTCAGTTCTAGTATAAAAATTATAATGAGGTGACACTGTATCCCATATCCATCAATTTACATCTTCCTAGAAAATTGTTGGTGATGACTGGCGAAAGAGAAACCTTTTATTATGTTCAAATGGTAGTGTTTTTTTAAGAAGAAAAAACTTCTTAGATAGTGATAGTCTGGACAGACACTTAGAAGTGTGAGGGGGAGAGACAGAGTGTTTCTATTCTTGATTGCCTCCTTAGATTTAAAACCCTTTTCTTTTTGTGTTGAATATAGAATTATTTTTATAAATTTAAGGTTTAATGCCCTTTTTGGTCCCTCTACTATAGGAAAAAGCAGTTTTTTGGTCCCTGTACCGAAAAAATCCCCTTTTTGGTCCTTACTATTCACAAATCCGGCCCCTTTTTAGTCCTTCCATTAAATTTTGGCTGATGTGGCAGATTAATTAATGGAAACACTCATTCTTTTTTTTTTTACTAAATTATGTGAAAAATCCATGTGGCAAAAATTGATGACACGTTAAATTTTTTACTTTTTCCTCCAGCCTTTTTTTTTTCTTTTTTTTCTTTTACCTCCAAGCAAACCCTAGAGCCTAGGTTCTCCAGGAACCCAGCTTGCTGGTTCGCGACGAACCCAGGTCTTGGGTTTGCGATGTCCGTGAAATCTCTAAGGCTTTCCTAGCGACATTTAGTGCTTATGATTTGAAAAATGTTCAAGTATCATTAAAACCACCAGTCAAGGTGTTAAATGAACTGAAAAATTGAGAAAAGAAAGGGATTTTTACAACTTCCATTAAAAGATAGATTTTGCTAGATCAAATCAACACATTTTCAACAAACTGTTATACTTACACCGACTAGTAAAGTGTTATAAAAAATAATAATAATAATAAAAAACACACACACCTCTTTCTGTTAGATGATTCTAGAGGACGCTCGAGAACTACTTCACTCACAAAGTCTAAAAGATTAGAATAAACTAAATTCCCATCAGTAATGGACTAAAGCTACATAAGAAAGAAATTTTCATATTAAATTTGTCACAAAATTATAATTCATAAAAATAAACTAGTAAACCACATTCAATCCCCAAAGGTTTTCTGGATACAACCAACGGAAAGACTACTTCAAAAGCGAATGGTTCTAATGGTCTAAAAAGACAGGTAGTGAATTTGGGAAGTAACTAGTACAATTTCAAAAATTATCAGCTCAAAAAGCATCTCCTCACTCATGCAAGTAATGTTGACTCAATGTACTCCAAGAGGGGGGGTGAATTGGAGTTCCAAAAATTCTCCCCTTTTTGCAACCACAAAACCAAAATTAAAGAGAGTAGAGAAGAAGAGCTTGCTCAATGATTTATAGAGGT